CCCCAAGTCTGGGATGTTTCAACTGGCAGTCATTCAGATTTTTTTTCCCATTTCATTTTTTTTTTCAGATTTCAATTGATATATTTCCTTTTTAAAGTTAAAACTACTGTTTGTTTATTTGTGCTTTGTTTTTCTGTCCATAGCGATATTTATTTCATATTCCACTTCACGGAATTTCTGTCTCATAGGTTGTTACTTAAAATATCTTCTTTTTCCTTTCTGTTTTATAACAAATTCTTGTCTGGAGGACAGGGAGAAAATACTCTTTATTAAAAGACATATTAAAATATTTCCTATGGCTTTTCGCATTATTCATTTATAGGTGTTGAAGAAGAAGAAAAGGCTGCAGAGATAAATAAAATGAAATCTACATCCCAGTCCAATAGGATGAGTGTCGATGCTGTAGAAATTGAGACATTGAGAAAAACAGTCGAGGACTATTTCTGTTTTTGCTATGGTAAGAGTATAAGCTGTAATTTTCAAGCAGTTGAATGAATGAGCTCTCTAGTACTTGTTTAACGCTGTGGAAGGCTTTACTCATCATTTCTGTTGTAGAAGAACCCAGAAACAAATACATTTACTGAAGCTGTTTATTTTTAGTAGAAGAGCTGCCACTAAATCTCTTCATTGCCTTTAAAACTTTTACTAATCCAACTCTGTGATTCACATTTTCTTTTAAACTCAAACCTTTTTTTTAAAAAAAGCAAACAGAACAGGTGAATATAGATTATTTATGTATTTTTTTGCCCTGGGATTTAAGGGCTAAATTCAAGTCCAAAGAAGAGAGCCCTTTTGGGGGGTTTATTGCCACAGACAAATTGAGAAAATACCCATTTTGAGTACAAGTTAGTGTTTGTGTTAGAACCTAGTAAGTGTTCATCGTGAATATCAACCAAAAATTGTTTTGTATTTTATAGTGTTAGTTGGATTGCCAGCCTTTCATGTTTTTTTAAGCATGAATGTGTGGAACAAGATTATAGTTACAGCAGGGTAGGGGACTAAAGAGAAGGAATAATGGAAGAGGTAAGCCTTTGTGCCCCTTCTTTCATATGGATTGTAAAATAGAACACCTAGTAGAGAGCTTTTGCCCTTTTGTTCTGAGGTAAAGCTTCCACTAACTATGGGCATTGAGTCCGGAACTCTCAAAGTAGTTTTGAAGCCTGATTATTATCAAAAAAAGGATGAACGTGATTTACTAGCTATGATAAGCTAGTTTAGTTAGAAAAAGTGTGCCATTTAATTGCGTTTTGGTGGTGTGGTCTATAGAGAGCTGAAAAGTCACTTCTCTCAGGCAATTCAAAACCTAATACCCACCCGCTCTGTGGGAGAAAGAGGGGCAGTCCCTTTTTGTGTGATATATAGCTTCCCAGAACTTGCTGGAGGAATAGCTGAGGTCAGTTCCAGTTCAGTGGTAATGCGAGGACGGCCGTTGAAAAGTAAATGGGTCCTCTTTCTAGACCTCACTCTTGCCTTCTCCCCTGTCACCTAGGAAAAGCTTTAGGCAAATCCACAGTGGTCCCTGTGCCCTATGACAAGATGCTGAGAGACCAGGCAGCAGTGGTCGTGCAGGGCCTTCCCGAAGGCGTCGCCTTTAAGCATCCAGAGAACTACGATCTTGCAACCCTGAAGTGGATTCTGGAGAACAAAGCAGGAATTTCATTTATTATTAAGAGGTGAAGTGCCTTTTCCCTTCCCAACTATCAGTAATTTAGTCACATAAAGTTGAATGTAGAATTTCTTTTTCTTTTTTAAAAAATTATTCTTATATACCTCATTATTTCTTAAAAGAATGTATTTCAGTATTCATATACAGATTTTCTTTTCTTTCAATGCAGACCTTTCCTAGAGCCCAAGAAGCATCTAGGTAAGTTATTGCTTTGTTTTATAGGACCATTGGCTTGGTTTCTAAGCCCATTTTGTCAGATTTTCATGTATTTGAATGATTACCCTTTCTTTTTCAGAAGAGAATATATTTTTGGTACCATGATATTTCTGTAAACTAGTGAAAGCTTTGTTTCCAACTCTGGTATTTGCTTTAAATTATTTAAAAGATGTTTCCATTTTCATGTGTAAGGTTCTACTGGCCAGCTTATGTTTTAGTGTTCACTGACCACTGCTGATAGTGTAAAACTGGTCACGGGGGCAGTGCTCGCTGCTGTCCACCAACCTCCACAGTGCAGGTTCTCCAGTCGGCAGCAACAGCAGCTCCCGGTTCATTCCATCAGGCCAGACATGCTTCATCCCCAACACTAAAACCACCTGTCCGTCGATTCCGTTGGCTACTCACAGACCAGACTCATGATTATGTGGTTTATTTAGGGGAGTTTATTCAGCTCACAGATCAGGGCCAGGAACTACTCAGGTCTTTGATCAAGACAACCCTAGGTGCATTAAAAGGCAGGCTTCTCCTTGGCCATTGGCCTCTTGAATCCTTTGAATCTGTACCTTCCTGCCATCTAAACTCTATTCCTGGGCACTTTCTTCCCTCTTGATCTTATCTGGTTGATTATCTTAGGGAGTGAGTGCCTCCCTGGTGGTGGTAGTTATAAGCCTCTATACCATTTAGCTGGAAATTGACCCATAGGGTGAATTTTGTTCGTGTGTCAAGGATGACGCTGGGCCCTGGTCTCCACGGCGCCACGAGTCTTTTGATCAGTAAGTCGGCCTGTTTTTAGGTTTTGGTCTGTATTTTCTGTCTTCTTTTGAGGCTGTAGAACTTTGTTTATATATACCTATGTTTATTTTTAAAATGTTATAACCATTAAAACTGATGAATCGAACAAACTCATTACAATATTTAATCACTTCTTTATTTCATATTGCCTTTCCCTTCACTCCTTTTACTGTTTATTCATTCTCGCTCCCTTCTTCCTTCTCATCCCCATTAATGCTCTAAGATCAATTCTGTCAATATAGAAACCTTTCCTTAGCTTTTTATATTAGCAGTCTTAAACTGTAGTTTTTAAGGGGTCTTTTGTGACTGACTCATGTCACTTCACATAATTAGTTCTAGATTCATCTGTATTGTCCAGTATTTAATGAATTCTTCATCATTTTTAATTGGTGCATAATATACTTAAGTATATGTACTTTAGTTTCTTTAGCCATTCTTTCATTGATGGACACTTGGTTGGTTGGTTGGTTGTTGGTTGGTTGGTTGGGTCAACATTTTCTGTCCATGCTACCTGGGATCTTCTACTGTTAGTCATTTTAGAATTGTCAGTCTATCAAGAAAATCTAATTTAAGGATTTTCAACCACTTTAATATGTGATGTTATTTCGTCAATTGAATATACAGCATCTATTCTCCTTTGAGGCAATGTGCTATTCTGTCGGCACATTGAGTCAGAGCATTAGTAGTTTGGACTATTCTGTTAGCGAATGTTACACATTCTGTTGTATGCAAATACTACTATTTACTAGCTGAAAAGCATTTAAATTATTGCCAAGTTTTGCTTTTTATAAATAATGCTGCTTTAAACTCTCACTCCTCTAGAATGTGTACTGAGAAGGAATTACTGTGTCTAGTGGTAAATTTATATTTATTATTTAAGAAACTCAGACTTTTGCAAAATGATTACACCAGTTTATGTTCTTACAGCGTATGAGCGTTCCAGGCTCTCCACATTCTGGCATGTGGTTGTTATTTTTCTTTTAATATTTCCTTTGTAATGTTTACATACTTAAAGGAGCTAAGCACGGATTTTTTTTTAATACAGTACTTATTTTTTTCCATTGTTTAACATTTTCTTCCCATCCCCAGCCCACCCTTTAATACACTCCTTATTCCAGATTGTTGTCATACATAACTAAGTAAGAAGTTTAAATATATGTAGAATTGTGCGGCCATCTGCACAGTCTAATTTGAGAGAATTTTCATCATTCTGAAAAGAAACACATTAGGATTGGAGGAAAACTCACCAGCAACTTGTAATATGTAGATAACTCAACCTTACTTTTAGGAACTGGAGAAGACTTGAAGTGCATACTGCAGAAGATCAAAGACTGCAGCCTTCAATATAAATTATATCTCAATAACAAGAGAACAAAAATCCTCACTCCTGGTCCATTAGGCAACATCAAGATAAATGGAGAAAAGGTTGACATTTCCTTTTCCTTGGATTCATAATCAGTACCTATGTATGGTAGCAGCAGTTAAGGCATCAATTGATGTCTTGCATGGGGAACAGTCTCCTGTCGAAGATTTCTCCAAAGTGCTAAAGAACAAGGTTGTGAGTTTAAAGGCCCGAGTGTGTCTGATCTAAGCCATGATATATTCAGTTGTTTCTTACGCATCTAAAAATTAGACAGTGAATATGAAAAATCAAAGAAAAATGGTGCTTTTGAGGTGTGATATTAGTAGAGCGTATCGGATATCCCATAGACTGCCAGAGCAATGAATTATCTCAGAGGAAGTGTAACCAGGATGCTCTTTAGAAATAAGAATGGCAGCGTGCTCTGGTGGCCTAGTGGAAAGAAGGTGTACTACAATCCCAGAGGTGCACGCTTCAAATCCACCAGATGCTCTGCTGGAGAAGGAGGAACAATCTCCTCCTGTACCAGTCAGATCTGATTTGATGGTACACACACGAAAAAAAAAATTATTAGAAATAAGAATGGCGAGGAGAGGATTGGGAGGGGAGAAGACTGCAATAATGAATGAATGGAAATCCGAAGTCTCTGTCAATTTTCATTGAAATTAATAGTAATTTTTCTTAAAAAAAAAGAATGTATTGAAAATAAAGAAGAATGGTGATACTTCATCTCAGACATACTTTGGGGCATGCTGTCAGGAAGGGCCAGTCCTCGAAAAATGACATCATATTGGGGAAGGTCGAGTCCATGAAAGAGAAGGTAACCCTCAGGAAGATGGTTTGATGTCATGACTCTAACAGTGGATTTCCTCATGGTGGCGGAGATCTTGAGGATAGCACAGGACAGGGCACGATTCACATCTAGAGCTCACAGGGTTTCTGTGAGTCGTCCTTTACTTGATGGTGCCTAACAGGAACACATTATCATTTACCCAGCTCCTTGTCTTACATCCTTGCTGAGCCCCCCAACTCGCTCTCACCCTGTTCTCTTTCCCTCCCAGTCCTTGTGCCCCCATCCCCACAGGCAGCAAGCAATCTTTATCGTGTGCTTTTTTCCTAGTCATGTCATATTAATGGAATGGTATCACTTAGAGCCTTTTACCTTTGGCTTCTTGGCATCTTGTTTTTTGTTGTTTTGTCTGTGTCTTACCATATTTGGGCATACTTCTTAAAATCACTGAATACTGTTCCATTTTATGGATGGATGACTATCATCTTTTGTTAATCCAATCAATAGTTCATGAACATTTGAGTTATTCTCCCCCTTTTTTTTTGCTATGAATAATGCTAGTGTAAGCACATAATGCTTTTGTGTGAAAATATGTATTATTTTTTATTCCTGTGACATTAGATGTGATCACTTTCATATTTTTCCCCGCAATTTTCAGCTGAGAGGCAATTTGCAAAGCATCCAATTGTGTGTTTAATATAGTTTTTAGTATATTCAGAGGTTTTTCTAAATGTAGCCACTATCTAATTCTAGAACATTTTCAACCTCTTAAAAATATACCCTAGTAATTACTAGTCTCTCCCCAGTTTTCTGAGCCAAATCTAGTCTTCATAGCATTTCCTTGTAGTTACTTACACATTGGCAAATTCTTACTTCTTTTTTTTCCTACTTACCAGAAAAATCATGTATTTTGTAGTTACTGATTTCTGTAAATTCCCTTTTTATGAAGGGAAGAGCCTGGTGCATGGAGGAGAGGGACAACTGCTGGATGATTATTACCTCCAGTTAGTTTCTTTATGAAGAAGTCAAAGTGTATATTTTTTTTTAATAATTTTAATGAGCATTTACAGAGATTTTGGATTTCCATTCATTCATTGCTGCACTTCTCTTCCCACCCATCCCCTCCCCTTTCATTCCTCTCTTTCAAATGTAAAAGAAACACTCCTTGCCTGGTACACAGTGCCCCCGCACCCCTCCCACCACCCCAAGTATATTCCACTATGCAACCTTAATTGTGGACTCTTGTGATAACCATAATACCCTATCATACATTGCTTTTAAGTTATTGACTCCCTCATCTGTTTCAGTGCAGTAAACACATTTATCCAGTTTTTCTCAGTCTTACCCTAACCCTGATATCAGTCCCATTTTACAACAGTGGCACCATGCAATATTTGTCCATTTGTGACTGAGATATTTCACTCAGCATAATGTCCTCCAGGCTCACCCATTTTGAATAATATTGAATGAGTTCCTTGTTTTTCAATGCAGTGTAGTATTCCATTATGTGAATATACCACAGCTTCTCTATCCATTTGTTTGTTGATGGGCACCTGGGTTGTTTCCAACTCTTTGCTATTGTGAACAGAGCCGCAATAAACATGGGTGTGCATATATCTGCTTGGATGTCAGTTATGGTCTCTTTGGGATATATTCCCAGTAGTGGAATTTCTGGGTCAAATAAAAGTATATTATTTTTATAACAACTTCATAGTTATTTTAACATGACTCAGAGCTGGGGACCTCCTTTTCTTATGTTACTCTATATTTAAGTCTTTTGGAAATAATTGTCATATTTGAAAGTACTGAAAAAACCGAAATCTAACTTTTTTTTGTATGTATGTTTGTTTCTTAGGTGGTCGAGTGATGGTAACAGATGCTGATAGGTCAATACTGTCTCCAGGTGGAAGGTACAAGCACAACTTTATCAGGAATTTTCTATTTCCTCTATATCTGATAAAATACAAGAATATTACTAGCGCAGATGTTACTTACCTCAGCGTTTCCCAAGCAGTTGATTTCATTGGGACTCGTGTGAAAACGGAGTTTGTGATGATTTGGGTCTGGGGTAGGGCTTGAGGCTCGCCTTCCTGCTGAGTTCCTAGATGAAGCCGTGTTGTACACCAGTGACCGTGTTGAATTAGAAGACTTGACAGTGAACTGAAATGAAGGTTAATATGTCATTCTGTTACCTGCCCACTACCCAGTTGATTGTATAAAGCACTGAATCAATAAGTTTATCTGATGTCGAGTCAGCTAGGTCTGGTAACTTTATTACTTTAGCTTCATTGCACTTGGATACCGTATGTCTGGCCCTCACCATTGCATAGTCTGATCAAGATTTCCTTCTCCTTTCAGTTGTGGTCCCATCAAAGTGAAAACTGAACCCACAGAAGATTCTGGTATGTGCTGAAATGCCTATACTCCATTGTTGTACTAAGTAAAGCTTTTCCCTTAATTTAGAAGATTCTGTTTTGACTCCTTACTTTTTTTAAAAAGTTTTAAATTTTATTATTATTTGTGTGTGTACCGTCAAATCGGATCTGACTGGTTCTGTAGGAAATTGTCCCTCCTTCTCCAGCAGAGCATCTGGTGGATTCAAACCATACACCTCTGGGGTTGCAGTGCAGTTTCTTGCCACTAGGCCACCAGAGCTCCCTACTGCTTACTTATTTTGATGATAAAAAGGTCAGTTGGGACAAATGATGCAGAGTGGACGGTGGGAGGGAGGGAGGAAATTGTGCAACAATGAATGAATATTTAAAAAAGAAAAAAAGTGAACTAGGGGAGGAGGAAGGGGGAAGGAGAGAGAAAATGTCCAGTGAATGGATGAAAATCCAACTTTCTGTAAACTTCTGTTAAAATCACAGGTAAATAAAAAGAAATGATACATGTTTTAGTGAGTGGTAGGCAGATGCTTGCTAGTGTTCAGACCTCTTTTGTAGATAAAACTGTGCTTGTATTTTGCAAGTTTTAAATCAAGTTGTATACTTGTAGAATTCATTTTGAGTTACGTTTTCTATGGAGTGTGAGGTAAAGGTGTCTGTTGGTCTTTCTTGCACCTAGCTTTCCAGGTGTCCGCCTAATGTGTCCTGAAAGGACTCCTTTCTCACTGGTCACATTTGTCAACAATTGGTTGACTCGGCTTATTTCTGCGTTGCATTCATAATTCTGTTCCATTGTTCTGTTTAACCTTAATCGCAGTGAATTTTAATAGCTGACTTTACATTTTGCTTATGACTATAGTAAGGATATAACAATTTTAGTTCTTTCAGCACTACATCATATTATTAATGGTGATCTATTTTGTCATTTTTTGGTAATTGGTAAGAGAAGGATATTTACAGTATTCATTTATTTAAGGCATATATCATCTTTGTAGTACTTGACACAGGCTATGAGAGGGGTCCCACATTTGCTGGTATATATCGTTAGTTGTACACCATTGCAGATGCAGGGCTTTTTCCGGGGGTGGCCCCTTGCAGAGGGTGGGAGCTGCTGAGCAGCTTCTGGGAGTATCTCTGAGACGGAACATTCTTTTACCAGTATTTATTGTGATTTGTAAATCGTCTTTTTTGGGTATTATTTACAAGTAAAAGAGTGTTTGAATATAGTGTTTTTTCTTTTTTTTAAAATTTTTTTTGTTTTTAATTTTTATTCATTTTAATGAAAGTTTACAGTGACTTAGGGTTTTCAGTCATTCATTGTTGCAAATTTCTCCCTGCCCACCTTCTCCCCCCAGTTCACTCTTGTTCTTGAAAAGTGAAAGTAAAACTCTTTCATTGTTATGCAATTCCTCCCCCAAGTCCACTCCACTGTGCAATCTTCATTCTGGACTCATGTCATGACAATAATACCCAGTCATATATCCCTTTTAAACAGTTCTTTCCTGACAACAAATGCTACTGGCACAATTGGAAAACTATCTGCAGAAAACTCAAGCAAGATCCACACTTCACTCCATATACAAAAAACGATTCAAAGTGGATTATGGACCTAGGACTAAAACTAAGGACTATAAACGTCATTAAAGAAAAGCTTGGAAGAACTCTAGAAGTCCTAATCCAGAACATAAACAGTCTTCCAAGCATCCTCGAACTGCATACTCTTGTGTTGGCATCATGTGAATATAGTATTTTTTAAAAGGCCATTGAGAGTCGCTTGAAGATGTCTCCTATAGTCTTTTGTAACTCTTCTTGTCCTTTGAGAGCTTTTTAACTTCCTTGCACAGGAAGAACCAGCTTCGTCTCTTTCATCCAGCTTGGACTCACCCCTCACCTGGAAGTCCTGCTTCCCTTTAGTGGAGAGTGGTGGTTTTCGGTCTGGTTGTTTTGTTTTTTTTTTAATTTTTTAATTATTATTATTTTTGTGTGTGTGTACCGTCAAATTGAATCTGACTGGTACAGAGGAGAGTATTATATTAAGGCTAAAGCACAGAGTTAACTTCCAACGAAACTTATATATAACAGTTCTAAAGAAAAGAATAGTTAAATACATATACCAGTGTTGACAAACACATCCTCAAAGAAAGCAAGGAAAGAAATAATTCAGAGCTGGGACAATCTGTTGTTCAGTAACGTGTTACAAAGATTAATTTCTTCCTTGGTTTGCTACCCCTTCTGTTAGGCTTTGTCTGTTATTACGGCCGTGGCTGGCCAGATTCTTACGTGGTTGCAGTAACCTTGCTTTCTTCTAAAGCTTTTGAATCCTCCCTGGTTATGCCCCGTTTGTTTATTGTACTTTTCCACTAGCCTTTCCTGGGGGATGTGGAAGTACTGGAGACAGCCGAGAGAATCCCATGAGCTCCTGACCTGGTGCTGCCTGCCAGCACTGTGTAGTGTTTGTAGCAGCAGATCATGTTCAGACTCTTTTGGTAGTCACTGATCTCAGCCAGTAAGAGCATCCCCTTTCTTTGCGTGTTGCTCGAGAGGTAAACATGTGTATACCTGGCCAGCAATTTCTCCAGTTGAAAATCATCTCTCTGTCTCAGATCACTTGGCACTAAGTTCACCGTCAGTCTGCTCTTACTGCAGTTGAATGTGCTAGTCTGAAATGTGCCAGTTTCTCAGCCTGTCTGAGAGGGAGGCCTACCCTTGTGGGGGCAGGAAAAGGCCTGGCCCTGCAGTCTTATGGTGAAATTAGCATCTCTTTCTTGAATGGACTTTTTCCAGTTGTGTGTCTCCCACTCCCCGCCAAGAGTGATGGCTGAAGGAGTTTAATTTTTTGTTTAAAACTCTGTTAAATGTATGAAACATACTGAGCGTAAATATAGCTCACTAAATACATGTATCCCTCTCCAAGGCTAGTGGCAGCACTCCAAGATGGGGTTGCTCCCGGGTGTCTGCCTGTGGCTCCCCAGCTCTGTCCGGTTGGTTGTTAACAGTACAGGCTTGGACACCAGTTGTTCTTGTGTCTGATCACAGAGGTCCTTTTCAAATTCTTTCTTGGCAGAGCTTTTATGCAGAAAGTGTGTGTTCTTGTTAATGTTGTTACTTGCTGAAAACACAAATACAACTCATAATGACCCTGTGAACAAAAGATCTGAACCTTGTTCTGTCCTGTGCCATCCTCACACTTCTGACACACGTGAGCCCGTTGCTGCGGTCATCGTGTCAGTCCACTTGGTCATCCTGTCCTTCACTGACCCCCCCGCCCTTCCTAGCAATATGCTCAAAGTATGTGAGGCAAAGCCTCAGTATTCTTCCAAAGAGCACTCCAGCTGCACCCTCTCCAAGACATATCTTGTTTTTTGGCAATCCATGGGATGTTCAGTGCTCTTCCAACACCACAGTTCAAAGGCATCAGTAATTCTTCTTATTAGTAAGTCATCCGTATTTATTGTCCAGTTTTCAAATACATAGCAAAATAATCAGAAAGACTATGGCCTGAACCAGACACACCCTAGGCCTCAAACTGACATCGTTACTCCTCAGTAATGTTAATAAAGGACTTCATTGAGATGAAAAAAAAAAAAAAGGACTTGATTGAGATGAAAACCCTCTCTAGATATTGAAATGGTTAAATATCATGCATGCCCTCTCTCTTCTGGGATATTCATTCATTCATTCAGACTGCTATATACAGTTTTTAAATGTCTTGTCAAAATTTTTTTTTCTCTATTATGTTTTGGTGTAATATAGAAACTTTTTTATTTCAACCCCCTTTTGGGTACAATTTAGTGACAGTCCCATGTACCATGTTGTGCAGCCGTCCTAATTAGCAGTTCCTGAAATTTTCCCCAGTCTTAACAGGAAAGTCGTCGTTTTTCATGGTAAGTGAAAATAGTGTAACTGATTTCTCCTTCCAGAGTTTAAAAACGTGTTAGAGGAAAAGAGAACAGCAAAACATATTCACATATTAGTGGTGATTTTTGTTGAGTTTCTTGGTAATGCCCTCCTTCATCCCATACTAGCGTAGCACGCAATAGCCCCTTTACAGTCTGGGCAGCAGGTGTGCATTTCTCAGTACTGTTTAGTGGAGGAGAGAGGATTTCCCTACACCGTCTAAACGCGCTGCTGCATAGTTTATTTTATTTTATTTTTTTTAGAAAGATAAAGTAATAAAATATTTTTAAAATAATACCAGATGTATGTGGAAAATGACCTAGTGCTGGAAGTGAGAGCGGGGATTTAGGAGCTCGGTGTTGTTCTGTTGTTAGGTCGTGTCAGGTTGAGTATGACTCTGACGTATAATGAAGTGATTTCTCTTTACAGGCATTTCCCTGGAAATGGCCGCCGTGACAGTAAAAGAAGAATCAGAAGACCCTGATTACTACCAATATAACATTCAAGGTAATGGCCCTTGGTAGTGCTGTTCTTGCCAAGAGTTACTTGTGATTAGAGTGAAAATCTTACTTAATCAATTGCCTACTTTTCTGAAGTAGTTTGCTGATTGGTCTTGGCTTGGCCTGGATAGTTATAATTCATTACTAGACTAAAGCTAGACTATACAAAAGTAGGACATGAAATTCTCAGATGGTATGAACTTTAATCGAAAAGTGCAAAGTAGCTATTAATATGATTCCAAGCAGAAGCACAGTTAGATTAAAATTCTGATTTCTAGTGTTATTTACAAAGGATGAGAGATCCCATGCACCGTTGCGAGCTAGCTCTGTCTGTGCAGCCACGGTAAGCTTTCCAGTTTACTGTATTTCCAGTGCCTCAGATGACTGTAAAAGGCATGACCGTGATATATTTCAGCTGTGACATCGTGGTTTTCATTCTCTCTCTGCTTGATTATCGAGAAGAATTATTCTGGTATTCACGATTAGAATTTCTTTTATGAATTGTTAGGTTCCAGGTTAACGGTATCTTTGTATTTTCTAGAGTCAAGTTATATCAGTGTAATACTGAAGCAAACTAAGCATTTGAAATGTAAATGTGATTAGTTTTGTCTTACGTATATACCTGTACATACATTTGTATATATTTATGGAATCAGCTTTACTATAATTAAGGAAATGAAATACCGTTTTCAAAAGCTTTTTTCAATCTCTTTGGAATTAACAGCTCTACTCAGAGTCAACCACTATTTTGGTTCTGCCATTTTAGATTGGTTTTCATTTTCTAGAAATAGATTAATAAAGTATTTCTTTCTGTTAGGTTTCTTTTATGCAAAACCGTTTTGGAAATTTGTCTTTGTTAGTTTTTCAGTAGTTCATTCCATTTTGTTGCTGAGAATTACACATTGACAGGCTGTGCTATAGTTTATTATAGTTATTAATTATGGACATACAAGTGTTTTTTTCATTCCGGGCTATTCTGAAAAACGCCATGTTTAACATTTGTGTATAGAAGTCTTTTTAGCGGATTAATGAATCTTGAATCAATACTCAGAAATAGGGTAGCCGGGGCACATGGTAGGTATTTAACTTTCTAAGATGTTTGTCTGCATGGTTATACTTCTGTCTGAAATGTGTGAGTGACAGCTGCTTTACATACCCCATCGACATCATCCTTCATTCTCATTCATTTTAGCCACCTCATTGTGATTTTAATTTCTGTTAGCTGATAGCTCTACTTTGGTTAAATAGAAGCTTTAATGCTGGGACATTATAAATGTATTAGAAGTAAACATATTTTGGTTTTTAATTATGTGAATGTCTATATGTTTATGAAAAAAATGGTTTCATTTTCTCTCTCAACATCTTGAGCAATAAATGTTGCTTATTCTTTAGGAATGAGAACTTTAATAAAAAGTGAAAATGTTGGGAATTATTTAGTTGTGCCTAATATTTATGTGTATGTATTTCAAAAGTACTGGTTAATAAAAACTTTTTTTATACATGTATAGGGTTTTGTTTTGTATTTTTCTTGTTGTGTGCCATTGAATTGGATCCTACTGGCGCAGGAGGAAATTGTTCCTCCTCCAGTTGAGCATCTGGTGGATTCGAACTGTGTGCCTTTGGGATTGCAGTGCAGCTTCTTGCCACTAGGCCACCAGAGCTCCCTTATATATAGATTTAAAAGCAAAAAATTTTGGCTTTGGCGTTGATCTATTGATTAATTAACAAAGATAACATGTCTGTGGCTCTGTCCAGACATTATTACCGAATCCCTGCTCATATTGGGAAGGTGAAGTAAAGAATTTGGAAATGAGATGTCTGTAAGGGAAAGATGGCCTGAAATGACGATACCCTGCTGAGGACTCAATCGGCGGCAAGTTGGATAATTTTTACTTCTAGTAAACAATATGTTTTCATGTTATTGTTGTTGTTGTTGTGTACCATCACATCGGACTGGCACAGGAGGAGATCAGTCGGCGGCAAGTTGGATAATTTTTACTTCTAGTAAACAATATGTATTCATGTTGTTGTTGTTGTTGTGTACCGTCACATTGCCCCTCCTTCTCTAGCGGAGCATCTGGTGGATTCGAACTCTGTGCCTTCAAGATTGCAGTGCAGCTTCTTGTTACTAGGTCACCAGAGCTCCCTCTTGTATCCATTTTTAAGTGAAAGTTTACATAAGAAATTTTTACACACATCTTTTGATGTCTAGAAAAAAGGTTGCGTATCTTATGTCATCCAATTAGTCAATTAATTGTCTTTTCATTTTCATGTCTTTTGTTAAACAGAAAGTCTTTGATGAAGCCCAAGTAATCTTTTTTTTTTTTTTTTTTTTGAGAGATGACAGCTTAATGAAATCTTTTTGGGCTTTCTTAAAGTTACAGAGATGTTTTCTTCTAAAATTTTATTGGTTGAGCTAACTTTTAAATAATAATATATGAGGTATTGCGTTAAATTTTTGCGAATTTTTGTCGGTTTTATCCCGGTACTGTTGAGAAGACCTTGTTTTTGCTATTCAACTTCTGGATCTTTCTAACTGTGTTAGTATATTTTGTTCTGTTGATCTGTGTACTTAACTTTTTGCTAAAACTATGGTGTCTTGAGTGCTCTCTAGATTTAGTGTAAGAAAATCATCCTGTGACAGTCTTCCTTCCATTGCTTTCTCTTTTCCACCTCCTTTGTCTTTGCATATAAATGATATTAATTTTCAAACTTTGCACTATCCTTATATGTCTATGGTAGACCCACTAGGATATAATGTATTAATTCTTTTTATATACTGCTGGGTTTGATTTTCTAGCCCTTAGAATATTTGCATCTGAAATACTAGCTGGATTGCAGCAGTTGGCTTCAATACAGATTGTAAGAATGTGGCAGGCTTGCGCAAGCCTTCTGTCTATTTAATAGGGTCACTATGAGTTAGAGTCGAGATGTTGAGAAGAGTTTAGGAAGTTGTTCAGTGTATTTAGTTGTTTATTTTTTGGTATGATTGGTGTTACACTCTTCTGAATATTTGGTGGGTAGCCAGTTAAACCATCTGGTTTTTCATGTGTTTCTGATAGGAGGTTTTAAAGCACTTTCCGTTTTTCATGTCTTTATTTGTTGTAGTAGATAGAGAATGGATTATTGAATTTATGTTTCTGGATCTGAAGCAGTTTTCTATTTTAAAGATTTTGCTCATTTTGTCTTTCCAGTGTCAGATTGTAGATCTGAGTTTTCTTGTTTTTTCCGTTTTGTAATTTGAGTCTTTATTTTAAACACTGGCTGTTTCAGAGCAGGTGGTTATTATGGTGGATACCTGTCCTTGCTGTGCACCGTAACATGTTTAAGAGACTCTGGTCTTTACTCGCCTCTTGCATTTTCCTGGTCAGCACGATAAACACTATTTCTAGACTATCACCAAATGTCTCCAGAAGAGATGTTGATTCTTGGTTAACTATTGCTTTCTCTTTAATCTTTATATTTTATGTATTTAAGAGTTGGAAGTCCAAGTCATTGTTTTTGAGATGTTTTCTAATATGAGTATTCATGCTATAAATTACTAAGAATTAAGTTGTGGCCTCGGTTGTAACTGAAGACCATTCTTAGTGTAATTTAGTTCCTTTGAATTTGTGTTTGTTTTGTATCCCAGCACGTGCCCTGTCTTGGTGATTATTCTTAGTATGCTTGCACCAAATAGTCATGTTCTGCTGTTTTCAGTGTGAAGATGTTCTTGAAACAGATTTCTTGGATTAGTTCAGTTGATTGCGTCCTATTTGTTCTGTTGCTGTGGTAAGAGTATTGCGGTCTCTGCCTGCAAGTCTGAATGTGTCTGTTTCTCCTTCCTTACCTTTCTGTCACTTTGGCTTTGTGTGGTTTGAAGCTTGGTTACTGTCAGTCTTTCGAAACCCCTTTTCTTGGGCTCTTTGCTGCTTTCTTGGCAGTGACCACCAGTGTCCTGACATGGAACTGCGTAGGTTACTTTCTGGTCTTTGTATTCTATATAAATGAAATCCTTCAAAATGTATGTTCGAGTTTAATTCCATTTATTTAATAAGTTTGACTGTTTTTTCCCCCTCTCCCTACTCCTTAAGAAATAACAGGTGAGATGTAATTAAATGAATCCCTTTCTTCTTTCCCAGTTCTCATTCTCTTGTTACTTACCTTGAATTTGAACTTTGTCCTTACTGATAGATTTGTGGGGCAGAAGTGTGGGCAGTGCGATTTACTGCCTCTGAAAACTGCGCTGACTCAGCGGTAAACGACACCCCACCATCTGTGTCCACAGAAGTGTCTACGTATGTGTGTTACACGTTTGTACTTTGTTGCACAGGCCATTTATTTACATGTGGTATATTCTGAATTCTTAAGTTTTACACAAATACTTTTTTTTAATATGTTCAGGCAGTAGGAGTTTTAAAAATTGTTCTGTCACATCTATTTCTTACTGTCATTGTGTGGTTATGCTGTAGTTTCTGTGCTTTTCTGTACAAGGGCATTAATCTTTGCACAACCTTATTGCTCCAGTAGACTTGCGCTTCTCTCTGTGCACTTGCCAGTATTCCTGTGAGGTGCTACAAGGCCGCGAGTTGCCTTGAGTCAGAACCGGCCCGTAGTTGACCCTCCAGCGAGTGTCCGAGGCTCTTGTCAGTTGCACGGGAGGATATCACTCGTTTTTCTCCCGTCAATCAGATCAGCGTGTGGACTCAGTCGGCCTGCCTTTGGCTTGGCCGTGCTACCTAATGGGAACGTCAAGGCGGTCTGCTTTTCGTAGTGCCTTGCAGACATGACACACATTTAGAATACATTGGTGAAGTATATACACTGAAATCCACGCACATAATGTTAAAAACATGTAGCTATAATTAGATAATACACATGATTAGAAAGCGTAGTGATCCAATTGGAAGCAGGAGTGGCATCCACGTGGTAAACAGCATGCCTTTGGAAACTCTGAACTTTGATAAATGACGATAAAGAAAGGCTTCAGGCCTTTTGTTCATACGGTCGCAGTGAGTCATACTCGACTCGATGGCAAACAACAGTGATATATAGAAGTATACTTAACCAAATGTTCACTAAAATCTGGTTTTACGACATAACTTGAATTCATTCAGTGAATTCCAGTGGGGTAGTCTGTAAGGAGGAGCTTCAAAACCAATGAAGGGTCAGTTATATTTCAGATTGTATTTTTTTTGTAGTATAATATGAACCCTCTCTTAAAAATACTACAAAGGATATAGATTAAGATTACATAATATATAAAGGAATATGTCACTAAGTTGATGTTGACATAATTGTTTTACATCTGCTTAATAGTATAGCCTCGCCCACCATTAGAAAATAAACAAGGCTTTACCCGCCAAAAAAAAAAAAAATAGTATAGCCTCAAAAGTAGAAAAAAGAATTGACAAGTTATTTAAAATTTTGGCAGTCAAAATCTTAAGATAATTTTAGCAAATAACCAATAACTAATGTAAGAATCTAGTGAATTCTTAAAAATGATAAATGAGATATTTAAAAGAAATCATTAATAAATCTAAGCTTGTTAAAGAACTTTGCACTCAAGAAATAAATAGTGGTATTAATAAATTACCAGAATATTTGTTAAATGAGCAACAAATTAAAAAAACTATTTGAAATAGGGAATATATGCAATGAGAATCCTAAGAAGCATACTTCCTTTTCTCTCAGGGGACTTCATTAGAGTTAAAAATTATAGATTAGAGAATGAGAATGCTACATAGCTACACTTGTGAAAAGCAACTAAATTGGTACTTTTAGGATAGTTAATAGCTTTAGCTAACAGTTAACTTTAAATTCCCCCCCATTGTTAAACATTTTCTTCTTCTCCCTCCTCTAACCCACCCCACAGTGAACCCCTTGTTCCAGATAAGAATTAACTTTTTAAAACTTTAAATTAATTTGCTTCGTAAACGTTGACTCAATCACCATAAAACCTATAAAAATAAAGACATAAATTAAACATCTGAATACTACTGTTGAGGTCACTTGTACCTGAGATTTTGTTCCCGTTCCCCTTATGATTAGCTCAGGTGTTATGTCTGCTTTGCAGTGCTAAGCATCCTCTCACGAGAGTTTGTCTGTCTAGTTGACCCTTGAATAACGGGGGTGGGATGGTGTGTACTGACCAGCCGACCGTCTGTACAGCCGCACATTTGAAGATGATCACCATTACTTTGACTGTAGTGGGTACTCCAGAACAGCAGAAGGGAGAAAGCCACATGTCAGTGACCCACACCGTGTAAATCTGTGTTGTTCAAGGGTCAACTTCAATTATAGTCAAGTTTTCTGCCATGGTGGGAAGTCAGCATTGCTAAAGTGCCTCTCCTCACCTCCCAACAGCACGTACACCGCTAACCCTGACTCCCCCTCGGATCCTCAGACTATACTTGCCTCTCTGAAACCTTCTGAGAGTTAGGAAAACCTTTCAAACATCTTGAGATAGTTTGCAAATCATTAATTAAGAGAAAATTAGAGTGAACCATTTTGCTCATGTTAATTCAGCCTGCTTTATGTCAGGAAGTAGCAATTGAAAACAAAATGTTTTGTTTTCTATTTTATATGTAATGATTAATATCTTTGGTTGTAGATGTAAATTTGATGTTAGTTACCGCAGCATTATGTGCCCTCTGCGAAGGGGTTCTACTTCTACAGGAAGAGGAGAGCTTTTGTTCACACCTGTTGGTTGTCATACTTCAGTTTCACCTGAGATTCATGCTTTCAGTAGTTAAAATGACAAAGTCAGGGATTCTGAGGAAGGCATAAGAATTTAGTTCTGGATTTTTCTTTCAGTGTGGCAGATTATTAAACATTTGTCAAAAAAGAAACAAATAGAGCCTCATGACAAACGTGACTTATAATCTGTAGGATGTAAAAGTTAAAATTTGCTTTTTAGAATCTTTTTACTGTTTAAAAAACCCATATACACCATTTCAGACACCCCATTTCCATTCAGTCCATATGTGTAGTCATCGTTAAAGTTCTTCTGTGTGAACTTACCAGAACACACATTTTCCGTTCACTAACACCATACATTGACCCCACTCATTTTTCTCACTTTTTTTAATTTTGCCTATTTTCTTTATGAAAAGGCTATTATCCATATCTCTCACCTAAATTCATTCACCAAAGTGACCCAAAATTTATTTTTGGGATTACTTTTGAAGTACTATCTTTGTATTCCAAAGCAGGCCCTTCTGAAACTGGTGATGTTGATGAAAAACTCCCCCTTTCGAAGTCTTTGCAAGGTATAACTTTTTACACTTCCGTTTTCCCACAGAACTGTTACTTAATGTTTCTTTATATTGAGTAGACTGTGTTTTAATATTTATATCTATATTCTTTTTTCTAAATGGAAAAGGAAAATGTATTGGCCTTTTTTAAAAAAAACATATAAATGAACTTCACAAGCAACAATTTTTCAAAACCAATTTTCCCTTTTGTGAATCTAGTAATGAATCTCGAAATGGGTACATGACACACTTTCCTATTGAAGGTAAAGTACACATTTATACCTTATATCAGAATAGTGAGCGCTAAGGTTATTGCTGTGTATGATTCATGATGTATACTGATGCAGTCATATTGATTCTCTTCCGAATTTTTAGAGAAGTTGTGAAATGCCACTTGGAAATCCCTAAGTTTAATGTATTTCCTCTTGGGGACTTTTTGTAAGGTGTTCCCAAATTTGATAATCAGGCTTCTAGTAATGATTTTGATTTCTGCTGTTCTGATCTTATGCGTTTTTATATTCTCTAGGTTTGCTTTATAGCATAAAAATAATTGCTTATTTTAGATTTTCAAAGGGGGAAAGTACATTGAATCTTTTCCTACATCCCTTTGTAATAATACGGTGAATGGGAGGAGGAGATCCGGAATGCTTGCTGTTCTCTGAGCTGCAGCCCTTCTTTAACTACTAGTCTCCTCTTTGTCTCCCATTTCTTTAACCTGAGGTCTCTGTTCTCTTTGACTGTAAACAACTCAACAACCCCTCACACATGCAAATGTTAAAAGGTCTTTTTAGAAAGAAAAAGCAGAAATTAAGAAAAATGAATTAAGGATCAATTCATGACTATAGATTTATGTAGAGTTTGCTTTTGATGAGTTTTCATAATATAAGAAAAGTGAAATGCTTATGGAATCATAAAACTTAGACATTGAAACCAGCAGTATTTAGTGTGACATCTTCAGCTCATGGATACTAGCTTTTGAGTCTCTAATCTGTGTAATATGTGTTCTTTAATATCAATGGACCATATTTAAAACCTACACCTCAGCGTTAATGCCTTTACTGCAAGTTCTGAATAGGATGAAAAAGACCCTAGGGATTCACTTTCGTTTGTAGGGAGAACATGTTTATTTCCGCAGGAAGGCAGCACCTTCTACTTTTTCCACTTGAATTCTCCCGAGCAGTTGGGTGCTGAGCCCTGAAGTGGTTCTAGTGGCTTGGGATTTTTCTTTCCTATTTGTGAGTTAAACGTCTGCTCTCGTAGGATGAGCCCGTTCACCTGTGACTGCCTAGCCTGAGCCATTGCTTTATGTTCCAGTTTTTAGAAGCAGGCAGATTATATTACCTGAATTAAAATGCTTTTGAGACTAAAGGTAGTATCTTAATTTTAATTTATTGAGTTTCTTTTACATACAATTTTGATTAAGTGATGGGGATTGAGTTTCCATTATTCTACCATAGTAAACATAGACCCCAAGTAATGGGACAGGAGACCTTTCGTGGCAGAACCTGAACTCGTTTATCTAGGCTTCAGTTTTTGAGCAGAGAAGGAAGAATTTACTCTGATTTGTCTTGTGTATGTGTGGCTCATTTACCGACATGTGTGGTACTTTAATACATTACATTGCTGTTCCTCAAAATTCTACATAGATTAATGAGCATAGTATGTGGTTATGATTACTAATAAGTAAATCCCAAAACTACTTAGATTTACTCAGTATATTTGTATTTTTATAGTAAGTTTTTTAGCTTTCAAATAGAAAAACAGTACATCTATTTTCTGCCTTAGAAAGATCACATTGTTTGAGTTAATTACTGGAGTCATATTTGTACATCTGTTGTTCAGTGGCTTAAATGTTTATATTGTTGCCTAGTTTCTCTTTTTATCTTGGAATGTTATTTTTAACTGGTTTACATACATTGTTTCATTTCTTTCTAGGGAGCCATCATTCTTCAGAGGGCAATGAAGGAGCCGAAATGGAAGTGCCCCCAGAAGGTTAGGAAAAACGGGGACTTTTATCTTGTTGCACTTGTTCTATATTGTAAAGAATGTAAATCCATGAAAATGTGATTTTTAGAAATTAAAAAATATGATTGTTTTGTTGTGCCTTTTTAGCTAGCAGGTTGGGTGGTTGGTTGCTTTTAATTTCTTAGTTCTTAAATACTGTATTGAGGACTGTCTGTTTAAAGTGTGTAAGGACTGAAACTTAACTGGTAAGTCAACTGAAATTGTTGATGATGCAAAATCATGCCTCCTTATCGTCTTGCACCATGCTTTAATGTTTCCAAACGAATTATTTCAATATATGACTGTTACTACTGCCTCTCTATCATATTTTCAAATATTATCTTTAATGCCATCCATCTTTTTAGTAGGATAATGTAGTCTGGTAAAGTTAATAAGGAAGAGATTGCCTATTTAAAAAAATTTAAATAACCTCAAATAGAGAAACCACCTGGCCCCTCCTGATATGTTTAAGGAACACGGCCCCAGGGGATGGTGGAAGCGGTGACCAGTTCTAGGCCTGTGTGTAGTCAGTTTACCCTGTGCATAGACATGACAGATTCCTGGGTGTCCCCCGTGGGCACTGACAGTGTGGCTGGCCAGGCCCCAGCTGTTTTTTCAGGCTGCCCTCAGCAGAGGAGGAGGAGGAAGAAGGAGTGGAGGGTACAGGCTTTCATCATGCTCCCCACACGAGCGTTCAGTTTCACTGTTTTCTGGCTGCAGTTGACCTGACTGCGCTCAGGGTAGTGAAGCGTTGGATGAGGGGGGAGGACTGCAGGACCTTGTCACTCCCCCAGCCGTGCATACCAGTTTGCTTTTAGGATTAAATTCTTAACATGGCACAGCTTTTTAAACTAGGGGACTCATGAGTGAAAACTGTTACACAGAATGCTCATCTACATCTAAGTAATTCATAGAGTTCTTCAAGAATTTGCATAGCTTTTTCTCCAGGGAGAAATCCATTAAGGTAACACACTCTTGTGTTAGAATTTCTGTTTATCCCATTGAGGGTTGGCATTTGCCTTTTTTTTCTAAGGTGAAAAGGGCTGCTATTCTTTAACTGCTTGTATTTTGTATATTTGCTTTTATAATTTACTTTAAAAAAATCTTTAATTTGAGCAACCTCCTTTGAGTAAAGGTAGATCTTAAGTTTCCTAGGTTGTAGGTTTATCGTCTCAAATTCAGTAGTAGAAGGAGGGTTTCCAACTGGAAAACATTTCTCCCAAAAATATTTTATTATTGACAGCGTTTTCCTGTTGTTTTGTGCGGTCTGTTTTTGAGTGTGATTATTATGTAGAAGAGGCATTTCTCCTGCTTGGAGAGGAGGTAGTTAATGGACAGGTGTGGCAGGTGCACAGGTAGTACCGACAGTAAGCAGGCATATAAATTGCTTTACGGCTCTATAATTCTCTCATTAGATAGTGGGATCCCAATGCTTTGAGGTTTTTATTTTCATGGTAAAGTCCTAATGTGTTGAATTGAACCTGGGTTCTGGTGTCTTATTTCTTTACTAACAAACATGATCTTTGGCAAATCAATTAACTCCTCAATCCTTGCACAATGAAAGATGACAGAAGAAAGTCTCCAGCTGAGCTTTCTGAGGACTAACAGTTTGATTTTCATTGCATTTAAATAGCAACAAAAAATCTTAATAAAAAGACTTAAGTTTTAAATATTGCATATAAAGTTACGGCAGATAGATAGTTTTGCATGCATTTATTGTAGTCATTCTCTCAAAATTATTTACCACCAAAAAAAGGAATTGGGTGTGATTTCATGTAACAAAAGGAATCACTCCTATAGTTACTGAAAGACAGAGAGCAGAAATAATAACTAAAATCAAAACCATTGTTTTTATGCTAGCAGTTTCTAATTACAGCAGGAAAATAATTGTAACTTTATAATCTTACTACTCCCGTGTAGACTGAGGTTTTTAGTCCATTAATTCAGGTAATCTGTATTACTAGTTTTTCTACTTTTTGTTTTCTCAAGTCCCTATATATAACTGAAAGGGTCAGATATTTTAATATCATAAACATGAAATGAATTAAAATGCCATTTAAATTTTATAGTAGGCAGCTCTTGGAATAGCACATTTATAAAATGTTGAAACGTGGAAAATGCTTAATAATGAATGTCATTTTAGAATTTTATTTTTTTCAAGATTCTACTCAACATGTCCCTTCAGAAACAAGTGAGGACCCTGAAGTTGAGGTGACTATTGAAGGTTAGTTATTTAAAAGCCTTGATTCCAAAGTTTACTTCTGGTCATAAAAATATCTGTCACATTCACATTGCTAAGTATGTATTTCATTCTTTCTTAAAGGACACTTGTGAACAAAATTGAAATATATACGTTCGTGTGTGACCAAAGCAGCCCACGTCCCAGCAGTGCACCCCTGTGCTCTGTGGGAAGTTTCAGATGACAAAACTGAGGCAGGAAAATGGCCTTGGCCCACAGGGGGACCAGGGTAGACTGTCTGTCTGTGAGTGGAAATTGAGAACTGAAAAAGAAATCTATGACCAGATCAGTGCACACACACAGAGGTTGTATATATAACCTGTTGGGTTATGATAGAGGAGACCCAGTTGGAACTGAAGCCCTAGTTTTTTTTTTAGGTAAAATGGAATAAAAAGTGTTTATAGTTAGTCTCATTTTTAAAGTACATTTCCCCTTAAATTGTTACAAAGGAGCTCACATATAACCTGTCCTTAAAATCTGCTTTGAAGCAATAGCTACAATTGCTTCAATGCTAATTTTTTTTTTACTTCAAAGATGTAAGTGAAAACAAATGAGCCCGTTTGCCCTTGAATGATTTGAAAAATCCCACTAATGTTAAAAGGCAGCACTTTTTATATTTAATAATTTAAGTGCATATTTTAAAATTTTTTTGTTTATGCTTTTTTCTACTCCATTCTACACTGATAAGAAGAGTTTTCATGTTATATTGCTATGCTAATTTTTGTTCAGCAACATGTAAAAATTAGCATATTGCATACAAAAAACAGGCTCAAGTTTCTTGCGTAAGAGAAACTGTAGACCACCACCAGCAACCCCCCCAAGTAATTCTTTTGCTGTGATAAAATGCAAAAACAACATAATAAACCACTGTACAGATTGCTTTACCTCCCTTTTGTCCCTAGGCCCTATAGTCAGGGATTAATATGATTTCATTGTATGTTCTTTCAGAATATTCTATATATATTTATATACGCACACGTGTGTATAGATTTTTATTTTTGTAAATTGCGCTGATGATTTTCGTATAGAACACATTTTAAAATGTAGCTTGTATTCCATGTCCTCCCAGTCACGTGCATTGGTACTTCCTTCTTTCTTAACTGCTGCGTGGCTTGTTTTGGTTAGGATGTCTTCTTCCTTCTTTTTAAATTAACTGTCAATGGTATTCCTGGGACTGTTTGTGGTGTTTGGCTACTTTAAACTGTACTCAAAAGGGTTGTGTATATTGCCTCTAATAATAAGGTTGGTAGCTTCCGCCTAACTTTTTTTTGGAGGAGAACGTATTATTTTCTGAACTTTTAATTACATATACTACTACTACTTTTATTAATGTACTGTTACTAACTTTAAAAGCAATTCAAATCCGTTTACAATCTAGTATTAAGTAATTGAAAGGTAACTGATGTTTAGTTAGAAACCTTATTAATTGTCAGAGGAGAAAATTTAAGAGTATATTGTTGCGTACACACTCAAAAGTTGGGTCAGTTTTATCAAATCGTAAATTAGAGAGACACAGTTTAAAAGTTGTTAGAACATGGAAACTTGTTTCGATCATGTAAAAACCTTTAAGCAGATGTTCAGATGATCATGAGTGACTCGTGAACCTGTGTGGTATGGTCAATGCTTCCACCTTTGGGGAGAGTAGAAAGGTGTCCCCACTGCTCTCTCCTGCCCCCCTGCTCTTAGCGCATACTCCTGCTAGAACATCAGCTGGATAATCAAGTTGTAGTCTTTAGCCAGACAGTACTGTTGATTTTCTCTAGACCAGTAATATACTAGGTCTTTATAAAGTAATTACTTTAAAAATAGCATTCCCTCCCCACATTGTATATTTATATACAAACTATCAACCATTAAGTAAATGAATATGTTAAAAAATGTGAGAGATAAAATTTCTTTCCTATGTATGTATTAAGAAATTGTGCCATGTCAAAAGAATGTTAAAATGAGTTCTACAAACTTTTTGTTGATAATCTTATTTGTGTGTCTTTTCTGTGATGATAACTCTGAAAAGAACAAGTATTTAAATATGTATAGTTAGACTATTCTGTTTTGATATATTCTAATAGTGCTCTCACTGAGATGGATTGACATAATAATGGTGGCAATGTGTTTGACTATGTCAGAGATGATGAAGTTGGTACAGGACAGGACAGGACAGGATTCATATGTCTTATTCACAGGGTCACTGAGTTGTACTCAACTTGACGTCATATAACAACAATAGCAAAAAAAGAAAAGCATTAAAATAGTAATATTTGAAGCAAATTACTTGGACGAAGAGTTTCAGTGTAATATGTAGAGAGAGAAAAAAATATACATAAAATATTTTTTTCTGCCTCTTATGAAGCTAGCTGTACAAGGAAGGAAAAACCCCAAATGTAATCGTTACAGAGATAATCTTAGTTATCCTTAAGAGGCAGTTGGAGAAAATACAGCCAGAGATACCTGCTAATCTGGTCAAGATTTTGTTTTGTCTGTATTTTTCCCCCTCGCATTTACCCAGATACTCTTTAGGAAGTGAGAAGAACAAACAAAAAGGCATTTTGTTATCAAGAAAGATTCCCCCATATTTTCCACAGTCTTTGAATACAAATCTGACAAGTTTACCTGAGGCTGATTTTGCCTTGAGGGAGACACATTTTCTGTGTAAGATGATGTCATCTCCTGGCCAGTGGTTTGACTCTGAGCGTGTGTTATCAGTAGAACACATAAAACACGTGTTTTAAGTTTGGGAACTTGGCCTTGG